GAAGGTTAGGAGGGGTAGGAGTGCCTTGTTACTGCTCCCAGCTGGCTTCATCTAACACCACAGGGGCAGGGCATTGACCTCATTACTGCTGGTCATTGGTGAAAGTCCTGATTCTCCACTAAGCCTCCTCTGACACCACCCAGTTGGGAAGGGAGGGGTGCCTTCTTACTGCAGAGTGAGGCCAGAAGTCTAGATTCCCTTTGGGGGTCTCTACAGACACTACGGAGGGGGACTTCCTCCTTCCTGGCAGGAATGAAAGTGCAGGCTCCCTGCCTCACTTCTCAGACACCACAGCCTGGCCAGGAGGGAAGACCTGGCTCCCTCTTCTTTGTTGCTGTGGCTGGGGAGTGGGGTTACAGTTTTTTCTGTGGCGTTGGCTAAAGAGGGCTATTATTGTCTTAAATTGTTTTTCTGTCTTGTTAGGCTGTCCCTTTCCTGGTCCTTTGGTTAGCGAGAGCAAGCTTTTGTTGGGGCTCTTTTATCTGTGCCTATTGGCATTTCTGTGTCATGGGCTTCTTCAGCCCCAAGTATGGTATATATGAGACAAAAGAAAAATAGGAAACTCACTCCCATGTCCTTCTTTGGGTCCCAAGATTCCTAGCCAGTCTACCTTCTTTCCATCTTTCAGAGTCTTCCTATGTGTTTTATATATATAATGTCCAGGGTTTTCAGCAGTATTTAGTGGGAGGGTTAGGGAAAAGTATGTCTACTCCAACTTCCTGAAAAAAAGTCCAGAAGATAGTATTTTAAACACTAAGGCTATTACATTTTCAATTATTACAATTAAATCTTTTTAAATACTTACCAAAAGGCTTCAGTTTCCTCTTATCTATTAGCTTCTAAGTGAATTTCTGGGATATACAGTCATAATTTGGTTTGTAGATACAAAAAAGAATTTTAATCTGATTTAGTTATAGAGAGAAAATATCATTTCCTTTCAGCCAGTAATGATATCAAGATGATATATAATTCCCTATCAGGTGAATTAGAAGTGAATAAATCATATTAGATGTATCAAGGTGAAAAGATGAATAAAAATTAAAAGATTTAGGCTTAGCTCTGCTTTGAATGCCAAAGACTAAGACAACTGTAATATTTTGGTTTGTTACAAGTGGATAATTATATGTTTGCCTAGTATAATACCACTGGTATCTTTCATTGTTACTCTGAGCCATCTTTAAATAAGGAACAGAATAAAATAATTTTATTTTCATTCCAGGTATTCATCCACTATGACCATGTAGGTCACTGTTTCCTACTTTGGGAACCATTACACCCCTTCACATTGCCCAAACTCCTCTGAAACGGGGCCTCTTGCTCCTCTCTGAACATAATCCACATCTTCCCATAGGTTGCCTGAGCTCTGCTTGGAAGATGTTCTCACCTTTCCCGTTATTCCCTCTCAAAGCCTTCCACCCCCATCTCTCGAGGTCTATCTCCAAAATGCCAACCTACAACCTACCCTGGGAATGGACTGCCAGTTCTTTGGCAAGGCAACACTTTAGCTCAGTCTTAAAGGATGAGTTAGAACTACTCAAAGGTGGAGAGCTGAGCAAGGAAGGAAGGGAGGAGATGTAGGGCATTCGCATGCTCTGTTGGCAGAAGGGGTTAAAGAGTTAAAGAACAGAGGGCAACCACCTGATATATGTCTGCAAACTACCAACAGCTTAATACTGGCATAAATTCTGAGACAAGGAGTGGTGGGAAATGAGGCTAGACAGGGACTATATATCACATTAGGAAGGATTTGTATTTTGTGAAAAATTTTATACTTCTTCAGTAGAAGATGGGGTGCTCCTTAAGTGTACTGTATAGAAAATTACATAGTTAGAATTGCAATTTGATACATACTCAAAGCCCTCTGATTATAGCCCTAACCTGTCTTCACAGCTTTTATTTCCGTTGCTCTAATATGAGGTCCACAAACTCTCATCAGATGGAAGGACTGGCTCTTCCTTGAACACAGTCTATAACTTCCCCGCTTGATGAACTCACTCAGGAAAAGCAAGGCCCATTTTACCTCTCCTCTGCAAAGATACATATAATGCTCTTCCAAAGGTAGTTGTGAGGATTAATGAGCTAACGCGTGAAATCACCCAGTTTACCGTTTGTCAGTTAGGAGACAATCAATTTTCTTCCTTCCTCCTGGCACTTATCTTAATCTACTTTGAAGTACAATTATACGTGTACCCCTGCTACAAGACTGCAAAATCCTTTAGTCTGTGTCTAAAACAGTGGCTCTAAACGAGGGGCAGTTTTGCCTTTGAAGGGATGTATGGCAATGTCTGGAGACATTTTGGATTATCTCAATTATCAACTGTCTCGATCATAGGATGTTAGTAGTTATACATCCTATAATGCATAACAGAGCCCACAAAAAAGAGTTACTCAACCCAAAATGTCAGCGGTGTCGAGGTTGGGAAACCCTGGCTTGGTTCATCTTTGTGGCCCGGGCAGCAGTTAGCAGAGTTGCATGTTATAGGAAGTATTCAGAGCTGTAAGAAATTCGTTGAAACTGCTTTTCTGTAGGTAAATTTATAAGTTGCTGTGAGGGAGTAAAAATTAAATTAGAAATGTATTTGGTGTAGGAAAATTGAAAGGTGACAGAGGTTTATGAATCTTTATTAATTTGGGAGAAACCAATTTCCATTTGTATTTAGAGGTGACCAATTTAAAAGGTGAAGTTCTCTTAATCAGCAAGCTTTTGTAATGAAATGCAGCAGGATTTACTTTTATATCAAAGTCACTCCCCTGATAGTTAAAGAATGCAACCGAATACAATTAAAAGATCACTGGTAAGCAAAATACAGTGCCTTGGCTGCATTCTGGGAGACGAGTACAGTTAATAATCTAGATTCTAGTGACACTTTAATGAGAAGTTTAAACTCACTGGCCCTGAATCTCAGAATTTATCAATGCTCTTTACCTAGATTTTCATTTAAAAGTAATTAAGTGATGAGTGAAAATCAAGAGAAAAGTTTGTGATTAGGAAAAAAGTTGCTTTGTAGATAATTCAAGTAGTAAGTATTTTAAACTGAAAAGAAGAGATAAACTACTGATAAATCTATGGCATTTAGCCACAATGGTAAGGCCTTCCTGTGGAGGAAGACGGGGAGATACAGGCAGTACCCAGGGGATTTAACCAAACCCATAGCCTCTTTACCTCGCCACAGTCGGATCCAGCACCCATGACAGAGTACACATGGGACTAGGTCACTCAGTGATACAGGCATTTTCATGGGCCCTGGTGGATAAAAGATTAAGAAGCATTAATCTGTTTCTCCATTATCTGTGAAAATGCTCAAATCACTGTGTGATTTTGTTTGGTCAAATCAATATCTTTGCTAAAGCCAAATAGGATACACTGGTTTTTAATAGTACCCTGTATTCTAAAAATAAGTCCCATAAAAACAGTAACCTGATGATCCCATTATATAAGGAGATTGTTCTTACTATCACAATTTTATTGCCAATAGCAACATATACTTCAAAGAGAAAAATGCTTATTTGATGACTTTTCTAACATATTTTTAAAAACCTAAGTGCTAATGTAGCATCAGTGGTATGTTATCTAGCTCTCTGTTACTATGTGTAGTGGTTCAGATACTACACTTGGGGGTGGGAGGGCAGCAGGTCCACTGTCCCTCTCATCCAGGATCTGAAAACAAAAGCTTGTGAAGAATATTTTGCATAAGTCTGCTTTCTCATTCATTGCTCTCTCTTAAGCAGGGTCACTGTTTCTGGGCCAGGAAAACCACTGTTTTATCTCATGCCAGATCTCTTTGGAAAAGAACAGAATCTGCCAGAACGTGCTTTCTTTCTCAAACTAAAATTAAAGATTTTCTAAAGTTCCTTTTAACCGGACCTCTGTCTCCAAATAGTTCTTCTCATTAAATATCTATCAGTGTACCCTCTGACTTAAAATGTTCCACTCACATCTTCCAGAAATACTGCAATCTGTCAGCTAATGGAAAACAAGTTCATTAGGTTTATCACAGCAGCAACTTTTTGCCCTGTACCTTAGCTTCCTGATTGAAGACTGTAGCCTTTTTCCCAAGGTTCCCTTCCCCGATGCCAAATACTCAGTAGGATCAATGCCTGTCTGAAATGTCACCGTGAAAAATTTTCATCACTGTCCTGAGGACACGCCTTTAAGGATTCCTCCAAACTGGATTGTTTTGGAAAAAAAATTTTCCACATATCAGGAAATTAGTTTGCTTCCTTATACCAGTGCTCATTATTTGACTAAATAATTATACTTATATGAAGGAATACAAAACTACACCATCTGAGGGGACATATATCAAAGGGCTTTACTGTGCTCCTTCACAGATACTATTTCAGTGAGCAAAGACTTCCCTGACCACAGGGACCTCTGTTGTGTGCTTCAGAAAGGATGCTCTGATGTGTGCAATCCCAGTCAAATGCATTGTGATATTCCTTACAGTTACCCACCCCACTGCTCCTATGTATCATGTCATCTTAACTATACTCGGTATGTCCTGGTTCCTGTTACTGGTCTAAATAAGAGTTTTTCTCACTTACAAAGTGTTGAGGCAACATTTCAAGGAATCTCCTTAATATTTTTCTCTCAAAACATTTTTCTGATAGTCAGCAGGAGTCCAATTTTAGTATCTTAGGCTCTGGGCTAATGAAAAGTGAATTAGAAGTTGATTGGCACAAATGCAAATGCTAATCCATTGATGAATGGCCATAATTCTGTATTTTTCCTCTGGACCTAAAATAACTTGTTGTAGATTGCCTGGCAATTAACAAATCTTAAACATAAATGCAGAACAAAGGAAAACAGAGTAATATATTCACTTATAAGGCACATTATATGAATCAAGAATCCACACTGGAGTCCAGATCCAGTCTGATGAACTCTTTTGGAACACTGAATCTAGTCAAAACCACATGCCTTTGAAAAGTTGCTCCCCCAGTGAGATCCAGTACTGTTGCCTTTGCCACATGTCTAAAGCATCTTTGTTTTGTTTCAGCTGGCAGGGTTCATCTACGCCTGTTATGTTGTGAAATGTATAACTGAAGAAGAGGACAGCTGTAAGTATTAAAGCTCTGTTCTATTTCTTTCAAGTTCAGAGCATCTTCTTTACTGCCTCTTACCTGTTTTCCTACTTCTCAGACAATATCCCTTAACACATCATTAGAATAGGGACTAAGCCCTTTGTACCCATTAGGCTAAAATGGTTTTCATAAAAGTATCCAGCATATAGATAACTAATCAGTTTCACCCAGGACTACAAATCCCAACAATCAACAATTTGCAATAGTTCCAAAAATTCTCACAAGAACTGACTCCAGATTGATTCAAGAAATTTGTCTTCATGAAACCAAATGTTCATATTTCCTATTCTTTCCTACAATTTGATACAAATAGCTAGAACTTTATGTCAGAGTCTCAGCATTCCGCACTACTGCTTGATCCAGAGTTTAAATGGAGGTACCCTCTCACAAGCCTCTAAGTGGCTCCATTGTCCTCTGCTCTTCGAAAAATTGGCAGGTAGAAGGTTTCACTCCTTCCTTGCCCCCTAAGGATCTGAAATAGGAGGATTGGGAAAAAGTACTTCAATGGTCTCTGGGTACTTGTCCATACAGCTATATTTATTCTGAGGAAAAATCAGAGCTGGGAATCGTTTTTCTTGGTTTCCAAAGATATTCATAATGATTGGGGTGTTGAGACAGTGGAGGAAAAGATGAGGATCCACTGCTCTGTTAATAGGATGATTTGAGGAAAATACTCAAAGAGAAATATGTGTTTCTTCTTCACTTTCCAGTCACACTAGAAAGAGGGAGGCTGTATCATGCGATTCATTTAGAGGAGGCACATTCTCAATCATATCCACACACGATGTAAAATTAGGACTACACAGTGCATAGTTTTTATTGTTGTTTGCAAAAGGAAATGATAGCCCTTTACAAATAAGTGTTTGTAAAACACTCCTCAATGTATCAAGTGCGATGTCAGTTTTGGGATATTTTAAGATGAGTAGGGACTTCCCTGGTGGTGCAGTGGTTAAGAATCCGCCTGCCAAGGCAGGGGACACGGGTTCGATCCCTGGTCCGGGAAGATCCCACATGCCGTGGAGCAACTAAGCCTGTGTGCCACAAATACTGAGCCTGTGCTCTAGAGTCCGCAAGCCACAACTACTGAGCCCGCGTGCCAAGAGCCCGTGCTCCGCAACAAGTCACTGCAATGAGAAGCCCGCGCACCACAACGAAGAGTAGCCGCCGCTCACCACAACTAGGGAAAGCCCGCGCACAGCAACGAAGACCCAATGCAGCAAAAATAAATAAATAACTTTATAAAAGAAAAAAAAAAAAAGATGAGTAATATGCAGTCTTTTACTTCTAGGAATTAAGCATTTTGTAGGGGAAAGAAACATGTGAACAAATAAGTATAATAAAGCTCTGTAGAGTGTATAGTGTGGGGAGATAGGAAAGGAATCAGGAAAGGTTCCACAGAGAAGGACACTCTTGAGCTTGGTCTTGGAAAATAAATAGATATTTGGATAGCTGATGCGGGAGTAAGGTGATCCCAGGCAAAAGGTGAAAAAGAACCAAGACATATCACAGCCTGCCATGTTGGGGGCAGAGCAGTCAGGTTAATATGACTGAATTATATCCTGTGCTAGAGGTGGGTACCCAGAGATGACTGGAAAAGATGAGATAGTAGAAAAACGGTTATGACAGAGTAAGGAGTCTGGACTTTATTTTGTATAGCATAATGGCCAATCAATTGGCAGTTAATAGAAAGAGAGTAACAATCAGAAATGCACTTCAGAAGAAACATAATGGTATCAGTATGAAGGAGAGACTCGAACGGGAGGGTCGAGATGAAGGAAAGACAGACAGATTAGGACACCATGAAAATAACTGAGATATGAGATGATGAGGGTCTGGACTAAGCCCAGTGTTGGAGAGGGAGAGGATAGATATGTTATTAAACATAAAAATAATACTGATTAATGGGCTATGGATGGGTACTATGTAAGCGGTAAGGAAGAGGCTGATAGATTTCTGAATTTCTGATATGAGTGAACGGATAGATGAAAATGTCACTTGAGGAAAGTAGAATGGGGATGCAGCAACTGGTTCAGTTTGGAAAGGTTAAGTTTGAGGTGCTTAACAAAGATGCAGGAGAAGATATCTAGTAAGCACTTGTCCTATGCCCAAAAGATTTATTCTGTTGGAAGGGTAAATATTAGGAAAGGTAAAAGATATATGGATTTTAAAATGTATGGACTCCACAAACTATGTAAGTTTATTCAGCTATTAACCATTCAGTGTCTTTGTGCCAAATCCTTGATGAGTCTATAGGTTAAATTTCATATGGGAATTGAGCTTTCTCTAAACTATAGTGTTTGATTTTATTTCACAATGATGTCTGCATTTTTATCTTCAGAAAAATACTGACACACCAAGTCTCCTAGACAGATAATCGGTATCTCTCCAGAATAGTACCTCCCAAGCGGGATCCCAGAAATGCTAGTCCATAAGCTATACTGCTCAAAAAAGATTCCAAAGCCAAGTAAGTTTGACACTGAAAATTTAGAATGCACATTTATGTATTAACATCTCTGAGAGTACTGCAATAAACAAGTATGTCCAATTTGTCCTAATCCAGTTTTGTTTTAACCATATTGTGTTGGATGAGATACAGTGAGGCCAGAAGCCGATCAAAGAGAGAAACCAAAAAGGGTTTTACTACATTCACGGTTCCCTAGGGAGAACACAACATGCCATGCAGGGCCACTCAGGGAAAGCATCATCGTGGGTCATGAGGCAGAAAGAGAGAGAGAGAGGAGAGAAAGAAAGACAGAGAGAGAGAGGGAGGGAGGAGAAAGAGAGAGAGACACACACACACACGCAGAACCGTAAGCAAGTGCTTTTATTGTGGTTTCCAGGGAAAGGACCAGGCAAGGCAGGGTAAAAGGATTTAGGATTGGCTAAGTTTGAAAGAGGTCCCCATGAAATTCATGTTCACTGTGAGTGTCAGAGAATAAGGTTTGGGGCTATCTAAGGTCTCCAGATGTTTGGGGTGGGCCAGGCTTAACTTGGGAACAGCCTGTGGTCATTCTGTAGATGTTAGGGCATTTTACAGAAACTAAAAGTATAGTTAATATCCCAAACATTTGAACACGGAAACTTTTTTCATAAGAAATCTTAATATTCCAGGGAATTATAATTCCAGGGAACTCATTTTAGGGAATTCTGCCCTAGGTCAAGTTTTGGTCAAAGTCATGTAAATCCAAGGGGATGTGAAGTCACAAATATCTTTTGGAAGATAAGGCTTATCTTTCAAGTATCTAATAAACTGTTTTCCATAATGCTTATGTCTTTTTATGTATTTTGACCACAACTCCTTAAGTGCCTTTATTAATCTAAAAGAAAAGCAGACTTATCATAGACAATTTTTCTAATTTTAGTCTTTTTGCTCAGTGAGTAAGATATGAACTACTTTCCTTTTTTTTACATCCTAGTAGACTCATGCTTATCATTAACGTTCATGGGACTACTAAACAACCTGGAGGAGATGCTCATTTGGGCCAGTTCTCTGTCCAGTTAGGTCTGTTTACTTGTGGTCACTCACACACAGACAATTACGAATATTTGTTGAGTAAAATGCTTTAGATTGATATTTCCCATGCATTATCATTATCTTGATCACCTGTCTATATGTTTACCTCCAGGCACTGCCTAGAACACATGACTTCCAATGCTCAAGTGTAAAAAAGGCTGCAATTTCTATCTAGTTTTCAGTAATTATAAGGAAAATTATTTTGATCCTTTAAAAATGTTTTGGCTTGATGAATGTACAATAAAACACACACACACACACACACACACACACACGCACACACACACAAATGCTCTCAGAAAGTAAGTCCTGAAAGATGGGAAAAGTTTAATGTATATATAAACAGGGAAAGGATCTCTGTGTAACTATTCTTACCTGCTGTGGATTTGCAATGAAGCAACCTGATGGGAGTGTAGTACAGGAGGAGATGCCAGCTCCCTACTTGCCAAATTAGTTAAGTTTCCATTCCTAAGAGCCTCACAAGGAACACAGGACAGTTTGGGTTCTGTAGCTGTGCTGAGAATGGACTGTGGAGATAAGGGCCTAATTACGGCACCTGGAAGACTGAAATATTCTTGACGTCAATAGGAAGCGGACCGGCTCTGTACCCATTTTTGATATCTGAGGCTCAGCAGCAAGTGTAGCCAGAGAGCCTCAGAGGCACCACACTCTAGGGAGCTAAGGCAAGGGTTCAGGCTCCATGAGCAAAGAGTCAAACTTAGACTCCACAAATAGCAATAAATCATCATTGAACTAGAGGGAGTTCCTGCAGGCACATCAAATGCCTAGGATTTTTTTCTTTATTTCTCCTTTTAAACAGTATCTCATTTACTTTTCTAGAGGCCAGTTTTATAAATACTTATATAGACACTTTAATGCAAGGTTGTTGTTAATTTCCCCAATGAAAACCCTGGGCCTTGAAGTTTACATCTCTGACCCTCTGTTTATCTAAGCCAGAGCCCCAGCCTGACAGGTCAACTGGCTGTGCAAGCTCACAGGACAACACTGCCATCTGCTGTGCCTATCAGGAGATGACAACCACCCTTGGAGCAAAGATTTCAAATAGGAAGATGTGGGCAATTCCGCCCCCATGTATCAGTCACCTAGGGGTGCAATAACAAAATATAACAGACTGGGTGGCTTAAACAATGCATATTTATTCTCTCACAGTTCTGGGGGCTAGAAGTCCAAGATCAAGGTGTTGGTAGGTTTGGTTTCTCCTAAAGCCTCTCTCCTTGGCTTATAGAAGGCTGAATTCTCACTTTGCCCCCTTTTCTCTGTCTGTGCATGCCCCAATGTCTCTTCCTCTTCTTATAAGGTCACCAGTTTTATTGAATTAGGGCCACGTACTTATGGCCTCTTTAGCCTTAATTACCTCTTTAAAGGCCCCATCTCCAAATACAATCACATAGCAGGTTAGGCCTTTAACAGATAAATTTGGAAGGGGATACCATTCAGACCA